CGGTGGTTCCTGCAATGCTTCAGTACCGTACCAACGAAATGAGCAGAAAGAGAGATAATAATTTTTCTGGGAGTGTGAAATTGGGAAGTAGTTCAAGCTAGAGGTTGTTTCCGGTTAGACTCGGCAGGAGAAGAGATGTAGGCGGTGTAGGCGAGCCGCGGTAAAGACCCATAGGCCCATGGTCCAAGGATGATGTATTTTATCATGTTTTGTTAGTTCATTTATTTGTTTGTTATTGCTATTAAATCATGAGCCCGTGTTATTGCCAAACAGCAAAACAATGAGATCTTATAAAAAGTTTTGACCAGTTGAGCCGTACGAGCGAATCTGAGCTTGTTCCTTCCTACCACATACATCTGGGATTGTATACAGACACTCTTCTACATCGACAGCCCTTTGGAGAATGAGACCAGTTGTAACTAAGCGATTCTGCTAGCTCTGACATGATGAGTTTATCCTTTTTGTGACGTTCCAGAGGTCAGCAAACCGGTTATGAAGTTCAAGTTAATCTACGAAAGGTATCTGGGACGAATTTATAGTTCCTATAAGTTTTTGAGGGAATTAGCTGCACTTGTTCGAGTCAGGCATGGATTAACTTTCTAATAACCCTTCAATTGCAATTGACAACTACGGACAACGGCTATTTTCATCTTGCACTCAAACTTTTCCGATAAACTCGTTTTCCGTTAATAAACAGTCATAAATGTCGATGTAATAAATGTCCGAGTTGGCCTAGCAACGGTATCGAACTGGTGGTATACCGTAATCGGCTTGCTCTTCCACCAGAGCTATTCCATAACTGTTCATGGTGGAAACATTAATAATTAAATAAAAAGAGTCAATAAAATTAGAAAAAAAAAGAAATTAATGAGAATCAAATTTCTCTCTTTGCAGGGTATTCCCTTGAGGTGTGCTGCTTGCCTCGAAACAGGTATCACCGATCCAACAGCTGACTGTTCAACCAGTGCTCCAGCTGTTTGCGCCAGCCATGAGAAATACTGTCTGACTAGACAAACTCAGAACGAAGGAGGTCAGTTCCTACCGTATCTCAGCTTACGGTGGATTACACCAACTTGGAATCAATTTTGATGAGCTTATAATAAGACATATAGGGATCTTACTATAACTAGTTATCGACAGCTATTTTTACATGTGTTTTTTACTTGTGATGCGCTCAGTGATTTAAGCTGAGAAAATTACCTTATTACCTTCAGTTTTTTTTTATTTTGAAAAGACTCCTTGAAAGTGAAAAACTTTTAGATTTCTTTTTGTTCTCCTTTATTCATGAATGAGCCGGCCATGACATTCTATGAAATTTGCCGGACAAAATTTATTTTGTATTATATTTACTCTAACCAGATTTTCTTTCTGAAATTCCTTGATTCATCTTAGTTAAATAGCTTGTTAAATGAGGATTTGAAGAGTTTTCAACGTTGCAAAGGCTCTGAGCGGCTAGGTTTTCCGAGGATTCTTCTAGAAGTTTCTGTAAAAAGACGGAATGATCGGTGACATTTAAGATAAATGAACGAGTAGTTTCCCTTTTCAGTAACATTCACCATGGAAAAGCGGTGTATATCGGAGTCAATGGTGGCGTCCGTGACGAAGAGCGAATCCGCAACGGTACAACTCGGTTGCGCTATTGCTGACGGTGGTATGATCAATTACTGCCTTTGTAAGGAGGATCTCTGTAACGAAGGAAGTCTTTTGGCTCAGGCTCAAGTCTCCGGGTAAGTCGCCGATATCATTTTGTAGGACTCACTAAGCGTTTGGTTATTGATCGGTGTTTTAGTATCCGAAAAACCGAACCGGCATCAAAACCCGAACCGCCCCAGCCGCCTGTGGAAGAGTTACCGAAAATCGATTTGCCGAAGGTTTGAAGGCTTCGGGAACTTTCAGATAGTCAAGCTCATAGTTATCTTTTCTGCAGATTGAGACTCCAACACACGTTTTCCTTGACAACGACGAGACAGCGAAATTGGAAACTGTTCGAGTTCCTGAAACGAAGTAAGTTTTTTGACAACGACCTATACTGGTTCCATTCGGGAGAAAATCCCAGAATTGGTCAAGATTATGGGACCGAAAAAATAGGACATCGCTTTGTAAAAGAGGCCAAGCGTCGGCTCAATGCTCGCGGATTTACGTCCAACTTTGTATGGTCGACCGACCGGTTTCAGCCGATAACTACAGTTTCGGAGGGTACAATTAGAGACCACCTTTTAAGAACGGTGAAACTCTTTGACATATGTAGAGCAATCGGGGGCATTTGGCTGATTGGAACTAAGCCTTTAAAGTTCTTACAGTAGTCGCTCCCCGCCAAAGATTATTCGAATTAGGCTTGCCATGAAAACGATTTACAAAGGCGACTGATAAGCTCTTTTCCAATCTAAAAAATCTAAAATTATCTATTATACAATAGTGGGCTGTAGGCTCAGACCTGTATTGTCTTGAAATATCATAAAATAATAAAAAATAACAACATTCTTGAAAGTTTTCTGGAGTCAAGTGACCCCACCTGTGGGCCAGGCCACGCATTCGGCCTCCATTAGGAATTGTAGTGGCGTATTGAAGGCGTATGCGGCGTGCAAGGCGCATCCTGAAAAATGACCGGTGGGGGCCCTTACAATAATTTGCCCCGCTGATGTAAAAGTCACTACTTTTATCCTCCCAACATGTCTGGTACCAAATTACCAACCCCTGGAGAGATGAAAACTTGGATGTCCTGGGCGGGTGTATATCCGAGAACCGATCCCCGTATCGTGTGTGATAGTGCGTCACTTGTCTCTACAATACCTTGCCCCTTAGTATTGATAATAGTTATTTAAAAAATTAATATTAAAATAAAACCATAGTGTTGAAAAATCAAAAGTAAGAGAAAGTTATGATGGTATAATTGCTGTGCCTTACGACGGAAGTACTCGTTTTCTACAACCCAAAGTTCCAGCGTTGAAGGAATAAATAAGCAAAGTTGAATAAAAGGAAAACTCAATATGACACATTTCGAGGTAAAAGTTCAACACTGAAACCTAAACATCGATGCCAGAACGTTGTCAAAGTCCAGAATCGGGGAAGAAGTTCCGTTTATCAAACATGAGCTGCTGTTTCAGGCTGAGCGATGAGGAGCGAGACCTGATAGAACGACAAAAACAATGGGACCAGGAGGATCTAGCAGCATCTGCAAGTCAACTAGGCCTCTTGGGGTCTCTGATTGTGTTCCTCTTTGGAGGCCTCCTTTTCTGAGATTAGCCTTCCCCAGACTGCTCCTATCGTCGCTGGTTCGAGACCATCACCTGATGACTCTACGGCTTTTCAGCTTTCACCTGGTGTTCCATGAGATCTGGTTCTTCGCATTCATCTGTTCGTCTATATTTATTGTTTACTTTCTTTCAGAGTGTTCAGAGAGATTTGAAAGTGATATTGTCCAAAATTCTTTAGTCAACTCATTTTTTTGTTCAGTTTCTCTTTTCTAACGGTGGTTGGCAAAGGAATCCCCCCCCATCCAAACTCCAAGCTTTAATCCCTCCCAAAAAACGATTTGTACTGTTCTGTGATTTTCTGTCCTCACTTGCCGGCTACCTATCAAATACATCTGCTCAGTCTATTGGGTTTTCCTTTTATTAACTTTATTTTAACATGTATTTTTATTGAAATCAATAAATCTGTATATTATACATACA